CTAGACTTCTCCTCCACACAATGACTGAATTTGATTGAGCTAACTGGCCTGGGTCGAAAATCCTGCCACTGGCGGGACTCGTACCCTAGTACTTCCCGCTCAGGGGCACTTCAGTGGCATCGGTTGATGTCCTGAGTCATCTTTGCCGGATGATGATTTGTCATAACGAATCGTGTAAATGGCTGAAGTGAGGCTATTAATTACGTTTCACCAATGTTTCATTAGTTTCACAAAATCCTGATTAAAAATATATATTATACTGATGATGCTGCGTGCCATTTCATTTTAGTATCGATAATAATAATAATAATAATAATAATAATAATAATAATAATAATAATAATAATAATAATAATATATCCATTTATATATAAATGGATGTCGGTATAGACCAGAGCCGTAAACTCCGAAACCGTTTTACCAATCTCAATGGAAATTGTCACATCAACTGAGTGTTTTGTGCTGAGTGTTTTATTACTCAGAAGATTTATAAGCTTGTGTTTGATGTACTAGATGCCGCTGTAGAACAAAATTAAATATCCGTGTCAAATGCAACCCGCAACACTCAGAAGCGATTTTTTTTTTTTTTTTTTTTTTTTAATCTAGATCGTTAAATAACTTCTAAACAAATAGTTCTAGGACATTAAAAACTAAACTTTTCAGGTCAAAGGTCTCAGAGAAACGTTTCTCACACCCTAATCTACGGGATGAGATCTTCTCCGATATTCTATTACATTTTTGCTTGTTCGCTGCTCCTCGATATTACCTCACCTGCTCAGAACTAAACTGAAAATAGTTTGCATCGTTGATACCATTATTCGCCTCCATTTTATTGAGCCTTAACTTCGCTAGTTGAGAGAGAAGAGGAGAGTTAAGTTATTTTGGCAAAAATAATTTTTATTTCAAATTTGTTATTAGTTTTCAAAATAGTTTCTATTCCATAGTTTCTAGAGCGAACATTTCTGTTTATAGTATTTTGTCAACAACGCTCCTTGCTATCATTTATTCTTAATGTAACTAATGTTGGCAAAGGAGTAGGGGTAGGTATTCTGGGGCCCAAGAAAACGTGCGCGTATAATAATTCATCTTTGCAGGGCCTGCCTATATTGAGCCATTCCACGTCTAATCGCACAAAAAAAATTTTTTATATTTTTTATTTTTTATATTTTTCTGTTTATTATGTGGATCAAATATGTTATCATGGATTTTTTCCCAACTTTAATATTTTTGGAAATATTGCACTTTGATTTTTTTAAATGACGTGAATCACTAACATTTAAAGTTTCACAAATCTGAATACACTAATTATAGAAAATCAATTTAAATTCCATTGAAAACATAAAAACATGCGTATTTTTTTAATTTTGCAAAATATTTCTTTTCCCAAATTTTCATTATTTAAAAATTTTGAAAATTGAATATTTTACATTTACATAACATAATACACATAGCTTTGATAACGATTCACTGGTAACAGTACGTTGCTCACTTCTTGATTGAATTAGTCGTCTTAGAATAATGGCTGAGGTATTAGTTGCGCAGAAAATGCAATATTTCAATATCACGAATGTTTCCAATAACCCGAGAAAGTATGTGGTGTTGTAGCCCCTCTAGTTTCATTATACAACACAAATGTAAACTAATGAATTATATATCAGTTTTATTAAAATAAATATATGTTTTCTTTTTGATGATCAGTATAGTCTCTAATTGTATAAAAACAGTTATGCAGCAGAAAATATTTTACTTTTAACTTTAATTTGTGTACTGACTTTAATTGTTTAATGTCATCTGGCAATGCATTATAAAGTAACGTACATCTATCGTATGCGGATTTCTTGTAACGATCCATTGTTACTTGTAACTGACACACGATAAATATGATTTCTACGACGTGTGTTGTAATTATAAATATCAGTATTGCATGAAAATATGTTCCGACTGTTAAGTAAGTCAGTTTTGGCAAAAATTACTGATTCGTAAATAAATATGCATAGCAATGGTGAGATTGCAATCTCAATGAAGAGAGGTTTGCGGGGATTACGTGGATGGCATTTATTCATTATTCGACGGGTGTTTATATATAAAGGTCTGGGTACTACAAGATGAGCTTCCCCAGAATATTATGCCATATCTCAGGTGGGAATGTATATTTGCAAAATACACGCAACGCGCAGCATGAAGGCTGACAGACTTTGAAAGAAACCTGAATGCTTAACATAATGAACTTAATTTAGTGTTAAATTCTGTTATATGTGCATTTCATTTGAGGTTTGATTGAATTGAGATATCTAGAAATTTTGTTACTTTAACTTCAGCTAATTGCATTTTGTTCATTTTCAATGGAGCATGCGATTGCCGATATGAAATGCAAAAATTGCATCGAAATAGTTTTTCTCCTTCGTTAACTATTAATTTGTTATTACGAAACCAATATTAAACTTCTGAAATCGTACTATTTATTAATTCTTTTTTGCAAAGAACATAGGTGTCATCGACAAACAGAACTGTTCTTCCAATTTTAATAGACGAGACCATATCGTTTACACATAACAGAAAGAAGATAGAACCTAAGATCGAATCTTGTGGAACTTCATGCTCAATTGACAGAGAATTTCAAATGTAAGGAAATAATGTCCTTTCATGTCAATACAGTATTTCTATTCTTTGAGATCGATGTTTAAGGCACGAGGCTATCCAGTTTACGAATTTCATAGGTAATTTTGAGAGCAAGATTTTATGGTCAATAACGCCAAAAGTTTTCAAAAGTTCTAAAAATATTCCAATTTTAGTCCACTGATGAAGCAACATCTTTAAGAAAAGAAAAAAATGGCAGTTTCCGTAGATTTTTATTTTCTAAAACCATGTAGTGGGACTGAAAACTCTTCAATTTTCCTGTGAAAAGTTTCCATTCGCCCGTAGAAAAGCCTCTCTATTTTTTTTATAAAACTAAGAAAACAGAAATTGGCCAGCAATTTTTAATTTTTTTGTTCCTTTTTTAAAAAGTTTTTTGCTGATTTGAAAATATCTGGAAATAATCCTGAGCATAAAGAAGCATTAAACATGTGAGTTAACGGATGTGTAAATGCAGATATACAAGTTTTTAATAAAAATTACAAAATTCATCCCAACCATATCAATATTTATTTCTTAGTTTACTGACTGTCCTGAGGATTTTGTTAGAAAAAGTTTTGGAGATAAACATCGTGTGATTAATTAATTATTTTGTAAGAAATTGTACCTATTTTCATTTTGTAAAGAATAAATGCATCAATAAAACTCATAGTTCTGAAGATATAAACAAAAAACTAAAACCAGGACATAATTTTAACTCTTTTTTTAGATTTTCTTTTTGATAGCCGACCTTTTTGATATGCAAACATCAAATTCGAATTCAGTGCTCTCAAATATATATATATATATATATATATATATATATATATATATATATATATATATATATGAGAAAAAACATCCGATTTTCTTAGATCGTGTTCTTTTGAAAACCAATTGACTGGAATAATCGCAAATTATTTCCTCTACCTCGTTATGTAGTCAGAATTCATGATTTGTGGATCTTTAATGCCGAAAAATGGATTGACGGCAATACGTCTGTAATTCATCACTACAGCCTAAACCGTTCAACTGATTTCCTCCATAATTGATATACCTCGATCAATTTAAAGGATCTCCATGCCCGCTGAGTTTGAAACAGATATTTTGATTTTTAACTGTACTTGACTAGAAGTCTCAATGTTTTTTTCAAAAATTGGCTCCAAATTTTTGGATTAAACTTTATCCTCAGATAACGCAAAGGACGCTTAAAAGAAATGTACAAGTCTCATTGTCGTTAGAAGCCCTATTTTTTCGAAAATTTCAAAAGTTTTTTTAAATTTTTAAATTTTTTTAAAATCCTTTCCTACAACTACAATATTGAAAATAAAGATTATTTCCTTTAAAAAATCTTAGTTTTTAAGGAACTAGAAATGAGGTCTCGTATAATTTCTCGAAAATTTGGGAAAATGTTTTAAACCTTTTTTTCCCCTCAATGATTACGAAGATTTTACGTAGTTAAAGAGAAAGTTATGTAATCCCGTCAAAAATTGATTTCGAGGTTTTAACAGAAATATACATTTTGGAGCCCCCTGGTATTACTCGCGCAACTTTTCTTGAACGATGACCTTGATCCCCCTCCCTTGTTCAATAAACAGTTGAAGGTAAAAGCTCGAAGCGGGCACTGATGACAACCTTTCAAGCATTAAAACTTCGTTGACGCGAAACAGAAGCTAGTCAAAGCCAGTTACTTTCGTAGTGCAGAACCCCTGTTCAGGTGTATTGTCAATATCGAAAGAAATGGCTGAGTCAAGTCTAGGTCATTCAAGGGAGTCATCTAAAATTTACGAAAAAGTTATTCACAAGATGCAGTTTTGACTTTCATTTCACAGACGTTGGCATTACTTAATATACTCTAGTGGCCGACTTTGTAACTAATATCCCCACTCCACCCGAAATCGTCAATCCATCGTTCAAGAAAAGTTGCCCGAGTAATACCGTTATTAAGTTGTTTCTTTTTCGAAACGTCAGTCTGTCAGTGAATATTACTAGCCTAGATTCTTCGAACAATTTTTTGCTTAATGAATATTCTCCGGTCGATCTGGCCCGATTCAAAGATTTGCGATTTTGACAAACATTCTTCGAATTGGGGGTTCTTTACATGAAGTCCCTCGAACATTTTTGAAAGTTTCTCAAAAACAGCTCAATTTTTTCTTTAATGTTTTGTAAGAATAGAATGAAATGCACTTCTAAAGACGACATAGATTCAAGTTTCCTCCTATATTTTCGATTCTTAATTTCAAAAGTTGACATTTTTTGGCGTTTTTCTACAACTAGCATATATAAAGTAGAGACTTTTTATAAAAGTTGGTCATCAGCTGTGTCAATTGTATTTTGAAATCTACCGCCAAAGTAGCTGTCGATATACATGAAGATATTGCCGATAGGGGCAGCACATTTCCTCACACAGCTGCACGCAGCTGCATAACCTGTTGTAACCTGAAAAAACCAGAGGAATCGCATTGATTGGGCGAGGTGAAAGTGTTCCGCGGGCTTTTTTCGTTTGAAATATTATTTAATGCTTCGTTGTTATCTACTTATGTAATAATAACTTTATTTTCACATTTGCAGGATATCATCATGCCTCCTATGTAGCGTGTTTTTTTTCATGCAAAATTTCATCGAATGTTTTGTCAAATATTGATAGTTTCAATTGGGATCTTTGGAGATAAGTCACGTGTGATAACATTCTGATATCAATATTGAATGTATTGAATCTTGCAGTGCACTCAGTGTTTTAAGAATATCGTTCACGTCGAAGGGTAGTTGGCATTTAAAGAAAACCCAAGAAGTAAAAAAAGGTTCGTAATTGATTTATAATATCTTTTCACATTTTTTAAGTAGTGTATAATATTAAATTCACTGATTACTGATGTTCATGTAATTACATATTTGCCATAATTTGAAGTTTTCTGTTTTCATTTTGAGGACATTTTTAATCGTTTATTTAACTCTCTTATACACACAAGAAATTTTGCACTTCTTCTTTCTCGGTAACAGTATTTGCCACTCAAATCTTTATTTTCATTTTTCAGATTTCTTAGTATGTCAATTTACTTTGATTACAATGCGACTACTCCCCTTGCTCCCAGTGTTATTGAAAAAATTGGAGAGGCTTTAAGAACAAAATGGGGAAACCCAAGTTCTAGTTATAGTATAGGCATAAATGCTAAAGAATCAATTGATGAAGCTCGTGCACATGTGGCATCTATGATTCAGGCCAAGCCAGAAGATATAATATTCACATCAGGAGGAACTGAGGTGATTTCTCTAATAATTTTCTCATATTTATTAATGTTTACTATATAAAATGATTATTTATAAAATACACAAGATGTCTTGCAGGCTAACAATATGGTAATTTTTGGAATCTTGGAATATTTCAAAAGATTCACAGATACAGTGTCATCTACTAAAATTCCTAAGAATGATAATACAGGGAAACCTCATGTCATCACAACAAATGTAGAGCACGATGCTGTGATATTGCCTTTGAGATATCTTGAAAGGAGAGGAGATATTGGTTTGCATTATTGCTTTTAAATATTCAAAGACATGTGGTTTATCTTTTCATGACAAAATGTTTAAATGCTTACAAATATGTGTATTTTATTTTTAGATTTATCTATTGTCCCTGTTGCTTCTAATGGAAGCATTTCAGTGGAGGATGTTATGTCACATGTAAAACAGAAAACATGCTTAATTACAGTGATGCATGCTAACAATGAAACTGGAGTGATTATGCCAGTGGTTGAAATAGGCAGGTATTAAACTTCTAATTGAATGTTAGTATTCATAAATAGGTTTTTCTTTTTTTTATTAATTATGATCATAAATCAATGTCTTCTTTTATTAGATCTTTGAAAAAATTGAACAATGAAAGGAAATCAAAAGGTTATGTCAGAATTTTGTATCATACAGATTCTGCACAGGCAATTGGCAAAATAACAGTAGATGTGAATGAAATGCATGTTGATTACCTCACAATAGTGGGTCATAAGGTATGTAGATTATTTATAAGTTTATTTTAAATTACTATTTTCAGCCCCAATAAATGGTATTATTTCTATTTGTAGTAAAAATAAAAGTAACAATAATCATGTTATTAAATGATATCTGTGAACCATAGCTTGAGTGTTATCTGCCAATTCTTCAAGTTCATCACTCATGGAAGAGCAACTTTTGGTTTCCTGTGTTCATTTAATGACTTGGCCCCCTTTGACTTCCCTCAATTAGATTTGTAAATTTTTAAAATAATAAAGAGAGCATGGTATTAATATTTTGTATTTCCCTTAATTTTTTTTTGCTTTATTTTTGTCTTGTAGTTCTATGGTCCTCGAATTGGGGCTTTGTTCGTCCGTGGCCCTGCCTCTGTGTCTCCCATTCAGCCAATGTTCTATGGTGGGGGACAGGAAAGGGGCTGGCGACCTGGAACGGAAAACACACCCATGATTGTTGGTTTAGGAGAAGCTGCTCGCCTTGTCCATGACAATCTTCACTCATACCAGGATCACATGCTTTCGATCAGAACTTATTTAGAAGAAAAACTCACGGTAAGAATTTTTTTAGTAACACTTTTTCATGTAGCACATTGTTGATGAGTGTTGAAAATTAAAAGTGGACTGATAAAACAGTTGTAGTTTTAGAAAAGGAGGTAATAAAGAAAATGTTTTTGATGTGGAGAACTGTAGAATAAGAATGTGATAATTATTCATTATATATATTTATTTAACAATGATCCCTATAGAAAAACAATAATACTCTATAACAAATTACCTATTAATATTAAAAAACAAGTAAAGACAGTTTCAAAAGATTATTAAAAACTTACCTAATTGAGATTAATTAACTTACCTAATTGATAAATTAAGTAAAATAAAATAAGGAATATTGGTACTATTACGATTTGATGCTTGTGAAAACAAGTTATAAAAAAAAATATTATTATTTATAACGTTAATGCACATTTGAAAAGTGCGCAATCAACCATAAATATAATTAATATTGTTAATAATTTTATTCTTTAATATGTGATCACATAAATACTTATAACTAACTACTATTTATGATAGAAATATATATTATTCCAGTATTAACAGTTCTAGAATTAATAATTGCAATGAGCAGCATCAACATGTAAACATAACAATACATCTATTGGTTTGTCCAAATACTAATTTGTAAAATACCTTAATATAATTGTAGGTATTAAATGTAACTGCGTGAATCTAAGTCCTGATTGACATTGTTTGAAACTTGAACCCCAAGAAATATGAACAATAAAAAATATTATTATTGCTTTAAAACATAATAATACAAATGATAAATTTGAAAATCGTGTGATTTTTGGATGTGGAAACATTTCATATTTTAAAAAGGCTGAAAATTCTATTTGATTGTCTTCCCATTAAGAAATAATACTATTAAAATATTAAATTATTATCAAAATTCTTTTTTTGATTTATATACATTTTAGAATTAATTTACACTAAAGATCACAACTTAATGATCAATTTCATGGCATGTACACAGTTACCCATTATCATTAAATGTGACTCAAAAGTTAACGGACGCTTTTGCTTATGGTAGTCTCCTATTCAAACTTTTAAGTGTTTTATACTAATAAGTTTGCTTTTAACTGTAATGTTTTGAAATTGATATTCTTATTTTATGACCATTAAAAACTTACCTCAATACACACGTCCCTCCAGGAGACTTTTGGAAAAGACAACATTCGTTTTAACTGTTCATCGTCTGAGCGTCTGCCAAATACCAGCAATATTTCTCTTGTTGGAAATGGACTTTATGGACATGTTCTGTTATCCAAGTGCCAGTTCCTTACTGCAAGCATTGGTGCAGCATGCCACAAGCAGAATAAACCTTCAGGTATGATTCACGCTGATTTAAATAGTAAAATCTGAAATATTCAAGAGTATATGCAGGAAGAAAAATATTATGATCTCTTAGAATCCTCCAGCCATATTGCCTAGAGAAAGTCATTCTATTTTATCAAATGAATTGTTGTTTCAGGAATCCTTCTTGCTTCAGGAATTCAGGCTGAGATGGCAGCAAATGCAATTCGCTTAAGTGTGGGTCGTGATACAACAAAAGCTGATGTAGATTCAATTGTGAGTGATTTACTACAAGCTGTAACTACAGTGCAACAGCAACATAAGGAAACCAACTACCGGAACTCTCATGAAAACAATTAACTAATAACCCCTCAGAACCTGAAAGACCTTTTTCACAGAAGAAAAATTACAAGATATTTTCTGTATAAGAAAATTAATTTCTTTAATTACTGGAAGCTTTTTGCCATTGGTTATTGTAATATTTGAGGATGAATTTTTGTACAATCATTTTCAGAAATTATTATTTTTATTCTTACAATACAATAATTTTTAACATACTTACAATATTAACTTAAGGTATGCCTCGAATGCAAGATCAATATCAATCGTGTAACTTTCTTCAAATCATAATAAAATTTTTACAAAATTGAATATTGTAAATAACACATAATGTCTGCATATATGTGCATTATGTTTATATGTAAATGTAAAATAAATGTATGTGTGTAGTTTTAGAAGTAGAAGAATGAGTTTTGAATGTCTAGTTCTATAGTAAACGGACCCAAATTTTTGCAGTAATCTGTACTAATGTAATTCTACAAATGAAAACAATAAACCCAATCTATGGTAAACGCATTATTTTGTGCGATTTGTTTTGAGAAAAGGTTTAGACTTTCTTGCAAGATTGCAAATTATTTACTTCACTTCCCTTGCAATATTTTTTGTAGAATATGGATTGACAGTTTTTCATATTGATGAATGAATAATTATTTGATTAATAATGTAATAGCAACTTCATTTTTATTGGAGGCATTAGTTGTGAGACTTTATATTTCATACATTATTTTTACGGACTGAATTATTTCAAACTGCTAGTAAAAGCATACAAATTTACAGACATCTCTTGTTTAAATAGAATTTTTCCACAATTATTTATTTTATTAATATAGAAAAATACATTAACTGCATGATCTGAAAATTTCAATATCTTCATTTGACCTCAAAAATATGAATTAAATTCATTTGTTTACTTTGTACATTTTTCATTAGTATTTTCTCTTTATCCTTCTTCAGAGTTCATGTTCTCCATACTTGATTGCATATTGTCCACGGTCTCTTAAGTATCATTATGCAGTCTTTGACACCCTTCAATGCTTTTTACATTATTGGAACACTGTCCCACTCTGGGAAGACCCTTTAACTCAATATCCTTTCTTTAGCAGCATATCACAAGCAGCTAATGAAACTAATGATGCACATCACTGCCATCAGTTGTGGCACAAGCAAGTCAGGGCCTTTGTTTCCGCAGTAAAATTGAGTGGCACAAGGTCATCAGTAAGGTCCCCATTTTGGGTCCAGTACCTCCACCTCAGGGAATACTTCTTCAATTATCACCTTCGACCAACAGTATTTTTCCAAGCTGCCTGGTGTTGGAATTTGTGGCACTGAGGTGTTATATTGTTTTCCAGAAAGGAAATAATTTCCAGGATGTTGTATTTCCTACATTCACTATAACAAGAGTCATTTTGTGCTTATTAATAATGTAAGTGAAACGGAACCAAGGTTTTAAGTTCACAATAACTGAAGTCAACTGCAGTAAACAGAAATATAAACTTGTGAACTTCAATGTGGAATCAATTGTGATCTCTATTGGTGTATGTGTGTGTTTGTTTCTTTCCTCCATATTTCATTTGCAGTAGAATCAATTTGGAATTAAATTATATTAAATATTTTAGCAGAAAATTGATGCCCTGTATTTTGAAACTGCATATTACTGAAAATGCCAGTCCCAAAGTAGTACTTGATTAGAAACTATAAATTCCAGGACATTGACAAGTGATAAATTAATGATTATATAAAATTGCAACAATGATAATAAGGGTAGTGATGAGTACTTAGAAGTTGCAATGTTGCAAAGTGTTTATAATGCTAGTTATTTACAATGCTAATGCAATTTTTTCAAAATAGTAAATTTTTTTATGATTCCTTTGCAACATAATGCTTTTGTAGTGGTCATTATTAGTGCTTTGAAGTCAGAACTTTTTAGTGATATATAATTGAAATTTTGTTTAAATAACTTCCACAACATTAAGTTATGATAATTAAGTAAAAAATATTAAGAACAAGAAACAAATCCATCCTTTTGCAATTCACATTTAGAAGATGCAGTTATTTTCAACTTTACTTTGCTGCCATGTATAAGGAAAAGGCTGTTCGGAGCAACATATTCAAGTGTGGTATGTGTTCATGTCAAGTTTTCTTTGTGTTCTTTAGGTTTCAAAATAATCTAATAAATTACAACATTCAAAAACAGAACATAGAAATGTTGAAAAATTCATGTGTAGTTGTTTTACAATTAAAATATTTAATAACAGTAGTTTATATTTATTAATATTTTATTTTCTTTCATTGTTTCTTGATGTTATGAAGTTGATTAATTTTATTTCATTTTTCTCTTCTTTATTTATGTCAAAATTTTAAATATGGTATTATCCGACATTGAATCAATGCGTATTACTGAAGATATACAGAATTCAAAATGCTGCCAAAGTAGATTACAGCCACAAAAGGATGTTGGGTGATAAGAAATCATGATTTGCAGAACATTCACATCAGATAAATTAGAGATAATAGGTGATGAGCAGATAAGATTGTATTAATTTTAAATACTGCTATTGGATGTTCAAATGTCAGTCTAGCTCAATCTGCGAGTTGTTTGAGTGTGTTATGTGGTAGTGGATACTTGACTTTCACAGGCTGTAGGCAGTTAATGGTGAGTAACATTCTTAATTTTAAAGAGAGAATCTTAGTATGGAGGTGAGAACTTTGTTCAGTGAGCACAGCAATAGACATAGAAATCCACAGATAAATTACTGTGTATTGTTTAGCTATTTTCCATACTTATTTTTAAAAAGCATGTTAATCTTTAGCTTTTAGGACGTATTTTGCAATTAATAATGTGCTTCTCATGATCCAGGAGTAGTTACCCATAATAATGGATTCTGTGTTAGCTCTTCTGAAAATTAACTCTAAGAGAAATTGTGATGTGCAGTTAATGTGAAGTTATAAATAATCGTGCATCAGATTTTCATGAATTCAGAAAATCTTTCACTATATCACTATTTTTCAGCTAAATAATTTAGAAAATCACCACATGGGTGAATGATTTGCCAGGAAGTGTATTTATTAAATGTAATAATTCGTGGAACAAAGTTTTCATTTACTTCTGATCATAATTATGTTCCTTTGAAAATCCTTCCTTTAATTAATGGGCCACAAAGTTAATGGTTGGTTTTAGTAAGAGCTCTAATAAAAAGTTTTATATCGGTAATGTTGAGTTTACCTCCCTTGCAATTTTGCATAAATTAATTTTCTTATTATTTGCTGAAAGAGTGCTTGATACATAATTTTGCTGAAAACTTCACTTACAAAACTTCTCTTATCCATTTCAATTATATTTTAAATATTTGAGAAAATTGATTCATCCTAAAATGAGAAAAGAAAAAGAAAGGAAAAAGAAAAGTTGCTTATTAAAAAAATTTTGTGGACTTACAAATCATTCTATTTCTGTAATAAATTAGAATTTTATAAGACATTTGTAATTCTAAATAACAAAAGGTAGAATTAGTTTCTTGACCTAAATCATATGCCCATGCAGATGCTCAGTTTTTGGTAAAATTAGAATGTAAATTACATGTTATTAGAAATTATTAGTCACGTTGACTGGGAATTAAACGTAAGTCTTTAGATTTATATCCATTTGCTCTAACCAAGCAGAAAGCCTGGATTCAATTCCCAGTCTGTGCAACTAATACTTTGATTAATTTGAATTATTAAATACAATTACTGCGTACTTACCCAATCACTAAGAATGACATTTAGACATTTATTATGCAGAGCACATTTCTCACATACTTCGTGCATTCCCAGAAAGGTGGAGGGATATGGTGAAAATTTATTTGTATATATGTACACTATAAACTATAATATATCTGAAGATATTTATTCTAGCTAATCAGAGTAGAATTATTTGCGTACATTTTATGTAACAATTTTTTTTACATAATTTCACAAAGTAAAAGCATTATTGAAAATTAATACTTGCATTATGATTTTGTATGATTTTTCCTCGATATTGTACCTGTAAATTAGTAGAGAAAACAATTTCAAATACATTCCCCATCACACAATCAAACCCCATCTCGATCAGGTTTTGTTCAGTTTCCCTGGTCCTTTGAGCAAATGCTGAGATGGCCCCTTGTTTGCTCCTGAACAGTAATATAACTTCGCTCTCTTCACCCAAGGCATCATATTACTCGTCATACACGATTGTAATTGTATATGTGACTCAATAAATATTATTATTATTATTATTATTATTATTATTATTATTATTATTATTATTATTATCATCATCATTAAAAAGAATTAAAAATAAAAAACATTGACCATTAAAAGAAATTGTTGATTTTCAGTTATAAATACTTTTGTGAGAGAATTTTGAAGCTGCAGGAATTTTCTTCTATAAAAACAAAAACAAAAATGTAATACAATTAGACCATAACAAAAATTTGCCCAGTCAAAAATCATTTTTCTAACATTACAACTGGAATACCCACAGTGATGGGAAGTTTGTTACTTAGCAAGATAAGTCTTCTGATAATATTACAGTTATCAGATAAAGCTGAGCAGGGTGCCCAATGTATTGATTACATATTGTTATCAGAATTTCAATACCTAATGATTCTATGGAGGACTATCTTACCAGAGTGTTTTACTCTGTCTTCTAAAAATTTTTTATACTTTCATATTTTGTGTGAAAACAATTCAGATGAAACAAACACTAAACATTTCTACGAATTCACAAATTATTACAGAAAGAAAGTTTTGTATAATCACTATTTTTTGTATGTTATTTTTAAGTATTATTAATTTTGTGTTTTTGTGCACAGTCCTGCATTTGTAAACAATCATTGGTGAAGAAAATAAAGAATAAAACTTCTTATGAAGTCAAGGTGAGCTCTCTTTATTTACTGAGGTATTTTTGTCATTAAATTTCTGATGGCTGATAGAACAACAGCTAATAAAATTTGTTAAGAAAATGTTCATATTTTCACTTACAGCTTAGATTTGTAGAATGCTTTGCTTGATAAGCTTGAAAATGAGATATTTTGATAAGTAATGTGATATTTGTTATATTGTTGTTATATGTTGATAATTGTTATATTTGACTTGAATTCTTGTTACTTATTATTTCTCTATAATATATTTTTCTGAAATGTCATTGGGGTATTGACAATGATTTTTTTCTGTTTTGAATTAAAATTTGCTTTTAAAGCTTAATATTTGAGAAATGTTCAGTGTAGTATGATATATTTATAGATCTAATGAGCAATTTGAATGAAACAAGTAGTCTCAGCAGTGTCTCTTGCTTATGAATTATTTAATGATAACCTGTATATTTTTTGTTTTGTGATTGCAGTTTCACCATCAATCAAAATAACAGTAACAAAATGAAAGATAAAAAAGATTCTGGAGGTGAAATTACTGTAAATAAAGTGAAATCTCTTGATGAAGATGGGGGTAAAAGGAATCCTTTAGATGCGTAAGTTGTTTCCTAAGATTGAAGCACATTTTCAAAGTAGGGTTGTATTGAAGAATGGAATGAGAAAGTAATAATTTTTCTTTTTTTAAGGGAATTTACCAATGAAGAAGAAAATGCAACTGAAGAGGAAATAAAAGAAGAAATACCTCCTGTATCATTCTTTTCATTGGTAATGTTTTTTAAAAAAATTAAACATTGTCAAACAATATTTGAGATAAGAAAAAAAAACATTTTGAAATTGACTGTTCCATTTTGGAACAATGGGGTCAAATGGGATATACAATTTTGCAGTAAGGTGAATGAAATTCAAATCTATTACATCAACACCCATGTTTCTATGCAACACTGCATGAAAATGCCCAAGACTGGGGTAGGGTAGGGTTCTAAACCGCCGGTTCGCAATGTTTGAAAGTGGTAAGAAGCAGTTCCTAGATAGATTCGTTGAAACAACAAGCCTTGTTGACAAAATCTATTAACTAGAAATGTTTGCTCCCATGTAATAGAAACTATTTTGTATTGAAAAAGGAACCATAAATTTCATGTAATAGTCCTGTCAACAAAATAATCAACACCATACTCCTCTCGCACGTAACGAAACAAGGGCTCAAGAAAACGTATGGGGATAATACTCTGAAGGTCATAACTTTTTAAGTGTAAATCTGGTAATTAAACACTTCTACAGAATCGGTCTTGTTTTTAAATAGCCAGGAAATAGCCTTGTATTCATTCACCTTTGATTTTAATTATTACTCTTGTTTTAAGTAGTAGTAAGTAATATTAAAAATATTAAATTATAGTTTTCTAAATGTGTCTGTGTTTAATCTTTTTAAATAATGGACATTTATTATTCAATCATTTTTTTCCTGTGGGTTTTTTGTGCAATTTCTGCTAGATCCTTCAGAAAGAGCACAATTCAAGAACATTATGTACAGTAAAGCATGTATTATGTATATACAATCTATATATACATATATATGTATGTATGTATATATGTATATATATATACATATATATGTATGTATGTATATATGTATATATATATATATATATATATATATATATACATACATACATATATACATATACATACATGTATTTATGTTGTTTTGTTTTTTTCTTTTTGTACACAGTTTCGATATGCCACTTCTGGAGAAAGATGTGCTATACTCTTAGGAGTTTTGGGTGCCATAACAACTGGGTGTTGCCAGCCTGTAAACCTTCTCCTGTTTGGCAGCCTCTCAGAGACATTGATCAGCTATCCCACCACTGTCAAAAACTACGATTTAGGAGACCTTTTAATGGACAAAATGGTAGACATAATAAGAAGTCTTAGAGAACCTCGAGATGATACGATAGATTCTGATGAATTTCTTGACAGAATTATAGCATTTGCTGTGAACAACTCTATAGTCGGAGCAGTGATGCTCGTTGCCACTTATGTATCACTGGTATTATTAAACTACACTGCTCAAAAGCAGGTCTGAATATTTTCTTTTTGAAGTTTTATTAGAGAAATATTTTATTGTGTTGTTTATATTGCAGATTGTTAATATCTTAATTAAAACCTTTTTTTTTTTTTTCTTCTTTTTTTTTTAGATCTTCCGAATCAGAAGTAAATACTTAAAGTCAGCATTGCAACAGGACATAGGATGGTATGATCTTCAACAAACTGGAGATTTTGCTAGCAGAATGTCAGAGTAAGATCAAAATTATTATAATAAAATTTAAATTTGAAATATTTAACAAATAATGTTTTTAATCAATTCTTCCTGTATTGTTGCAGAGATTTAATAAAACTTGAAGAAGGATTGGGCGAGAAGGTTGCAATGTTCATACATTTCCAAATTTCCTTTGTGGCATGCTTGATTGTGGCCTTTGTAAAGGGTTGGGAACTTGCTCTTGTCTGTCTTGTGTCATTCCCTGTTACAATGATATCTATGGCAATTGTTGGAGTTATATCAAGCAGATTAGCCAAACAAGAACTTGAAGCCTATGGAAAAGCTGGTACTATTGCTGAGGAAGTGTTGAGTTCTATGCGAACAGTAATAGCTTTTGGAGGTCAAAAGAAGGAATCTGAAAGATATTATGCAAACCTGGTGTTTGCTAAAAATATCAATGTAAAAAGAGGATTTTATAATGGTTTGGGTTTTGGGTTGTTGTGGTTCTTCATATATGCCAGTTATGCCCTTGCTTTCTGGTATGGCGTTGGTTTGATTATTAAAGACAAGTATTCAGCTAGCACTATGATAACTGTAAGTTTTAAGAATTTCTGCTATACATACTAGTACATCTTGCATTGTACTAAAAGTTAATTTATCAATTGATTTCCATGCTTAAAGGTTTTCTTTGGTGTAATGATGGGTTCTATGAATTTTGGCATGTCTTCACCATTAATCGAAGCCTTTGGTATTGCCAAAGGAGCTGGAGCCAAAATCTATTCAGTGATTGAGAGAAAATCACCCATTGATAGTTGGTCTGAAGATGGTTTACGGCCATCAAAAATCACAGGAACTCTTGAATTTGAAGATATTCATTTTGAATATCCTTCAAGAAAGAATGTCAAGGTAATGTTTCTTAATGTATTAAGTTAAAACTTCTAAACAAACTACAATGGTATCTTAAATAAATTTCTCTTTATTAAATATCTTTTTATTATTTTTTTCCAGAACTATTAAGTGTTGAAATTGTTCAATTTTAAATAGTAAGATTTATATTTTTAAGGAATTCTCATTTGATATTTCTGTTATGTATTAATGTTATCCCTTTTAATTATAATTTCAGATTCTGCAAGGACTTAATTTGACAATTCAGAATGGCCAAACAGTTGCTCTTGTTGGAAGTTCTGGTTGTGGCAAATCCACTTGCATTCAACTAATTCAGAGATTTTATGATCCACGGAAAGGCACTGTAAGTCATACATAATTCTGAGTTGCTTTCAACTCACACTTGTTAATACTGAAATATGACTTTTAATTTTGAAGGTGAAACTGGATGGCTGTGATATAAAGGAATTGAATGTTGCTTGGTTACGAAGTCACATCGGTGTTGTTGGTCAAGAACCAGTATTGTTTCAAACTACTATAGCTGAAAATATTCGATATGGTCATGAAACTGCAACTATGGATGAAATTATAGCAGCTGCAAAAAAATCGAATGCACATGACTTCATCTCGAAATTACCACAGGTATTGAAGCACACTCATATTCATTGTTGTCCTGTCATACAGATGATGCGAAATTCAAGCACAATTGGAAATCTCAGGCAGAGTGATCTTAAAGGTCTGCCATGGTCTGGGGAAGGGGACCAAGCCATGACTCTTGATTAGGAACCATGGGAAATCTTGCTATGAAGAAAATAAATGCTGATCCTATCAGTAGGCTGATGTCCCAGTTTAAAAAATATATTTTTCTTTCGGTAAAATCTAACCAAGTCTCTAGCTTATCATTTGTAGGTATTGACTTTGTGGAGAAGCTTCTTAAGGCAGGAGCTCCCTCCCGGTTAATTCCCAGAGAGGTTTCTCACATCGTAAAAATCTTTCACATATTTAGCCGTGTGAAATACTTGCCTATCGAATGGCATCCAGTATTATTTTTTATATTTTTCATGACAGTTTATAAATTTTCTGGAAATGGAGTTGTTAATGTTAAGTGCTCTAGTGCACTGTGGTGGCAGACTAAGGTGTAGTCAACAGTGTGTCTGGTGCTGTCACAATGAAGTCATAAATTCCTACTAATAGTTCCGGTGCTAGTGGTATTTGCATGAAGGACAAATGATGATCAAGGAGATGGACAAATAGACGAATTTTAATTTTGGATGGCCGTGTGTGTGTATGTGGTGTGTTTTGTATTTTAGGTTTCCAAAACATATATATTTCAAACATATATTTGATTTTCTGCTGAATTTCATAACTTTCTCTATACTACATGTATTACTCCATGTATACATATGTATAGAAGGTAAAAATTCATATTAGTCTTTGTACATCTATAATATATTTTTATAATGTTAATAACCATGTTTTTAAATTTAAGGTCTGTTATACCTTCTAGGCAGAAGTGATCACAGATATTTTCAGACAAGTTTTCAATTGTTATCGTGTTTCTTAAGATTATTTTAATTTGTGTTCCTTTCTGTTTCAGGGCTATGATACTTTAGTGGGGGAGAGAGGAGCTCAGATTTCTGGAGGTCAGAAACAACGTATAGCTATTGCAAGAGCTTTAGTTCGCAATCCTACCATTTTACTCCTGGATGAAGCCACTTCAGCACTGGATACTAATAGTGAAGCTAAAGTACAAGCAGCTCTTGATAAAGCTAGTCAAGGACGTACTACTATTATTGTTGCTCACAGACTTTCAACTATTCGTAATGCAGATAAAATTGTGGTACTGTCTGGAGGAATTGTAGTAGAAGAAGGAACACACAATGAGCTAATGTCACAAAAAGGTCATTATCATGGTTTAGTAACTGCTCAGGTATCTCATGCTGAGGATGAGGCTGATGAGTCCCAGAATACTGCAGGTATGATTAATGTATTTATTCAAAAGAGCTACAAAAGTCTATCAGTACTTCTTTTGTAACTTCTATGGTGTTTTAAACATGGGATTAAAAATCTTAAATTGTTTACAGATGAAGAGAAAAGACATCCTCTATCAAGAATGGTGAGTGTACGAAGTGAAAACTCTTCAATTATGGAAGATCCAGATACTATACTACCAAATGTTGAATCAGATTATGATAAAGAAAAGCCTCCACCTGTTAAAATGCTTGATGTGTTAAAAATGAATAGCCCAGAATGGATTTTCATCACAATTGGAACTCTATCCTCAATAATTATGGGATGTGCAATGCCAGTTTTTGCAATTTTGTTTGGTGATATTATGCAGGTACAAAACTGAAGAAACCAAATTTCCACTTTTTCTGTACATGATATGCTCAAATGAAATGTATTTAATAAATTTCTAGCTTTGTGTTTCTTAAGAAAATATAAAAGTATTTCCTGTGTGTTTGACTAGGTGTTAGCTGAGGCAAAAGCTGGTGGTGACAGTGATCAAGTTAGAAAAGATTCTAATGTATATTGCCTCTACTTTGTAATTGCTGGTATTGCTGTCGGAATATCTACGTTTTTACAGGTAAATTACAATATTTCAAAAATGCATTAGTTAACTGTGAAAAAGATGAAGCATGAAAATTAAGAAATTATGTTCCTGTGTATTCCAGATTTACTCTTATTCAATAGCTGGGGAAAAACTTACGATGCGACTAAGAGGTCTTGCTTTTGAAGCCATGATGAGACAAGAAATTGCATGGTTTGATAATAAAGCAAATAGCACAGGAGCCCTTTGCTCTCGATTATCAGGAGAAGCTGCAGCAGTGCAAGGGGTAAGTAAATCAAACACATCACCAACTATCATCAATTAGCCAAGGATATTTAGTCTCTAAACTTTAAAAAAATATTTTTTTAAGACTATATGTGTTCTCACTGCAACCTCAGGTTTTCATGTAACAACAACAACAAAAAATTAAAACACTTATTATAGGTTACTACTGTTACTCCAGTATTTAGTCTCCTCACTAAAAACTTGACATTAATACTTTTAGTATAACACAGAACAATGAAATGTCATTTTTAGATGGCAAGAGAGGGGGGAGCCGGGGGTAAAGTTTTTTCTGCAATTCATTAAAATATTTATTATAGTATCAGTGTATAGTTTTTTCGAGAATTACAATTGTGGTTCTGAAAAAGAAGTTAATGTCAATTTAAAAAAAACGTGTCTTCAAGTGTCAATAATTGTAAAAAAGTAAGTTAATATTAAACAAAGATATATTAGTATAAGAATTTATCACCTTTAGATTTCTGACTTTAAAGAGGCCCAAACTCTGTGTCACTAGATGTCTCTCTTAAATGAGTTCTACTTTTTACAATATGAAATCAAAAATGTTTCATGAATACTAGAACGTTTTAATTCTTTCACCCTTTTTATATCTGAAGTTTGAATTGGCCCTTCATCTACAAAAGAATGATTGAAATTGAAGCTATATCTACAAAATTTTTCATTTTCATTATTATAAATATAGGTTACATTAATTTTACATTTTTTTTCCAGGCTACTGGACAGAGAATTGGAACAGTAATTCAGTCCATTGCTACTATACTGTTGGGTGTGTCTCTATCAATGTACTACAAGTGGAATCTTGGCCTAGTTGCCTTGGCATTCACACCTATAATCCTCCTAGGCAATTATTTCTCCAGAAGTGTCATGACAGGTGAAGCTTTTAGCAATCAAGATGCTATGCAAAATAGTACCAAGGTATGTGTTGTCATCTTACTGGGATCATGAGAATTCACTTGTAATGAGAACTCAACTATGGTTAATATTTTTCCAGTTGGCTGTAGAAGCAGTGGGAAATATACGAACAGTAGTGGGTCTTGGACGTGAAAGACAGTTTCACGCCCAGTACTTGATAGAATTATTACCTGCTCATAAACTTGCTCTAAGAAACACTCATCTGCGTGGATTAGTGTATGGTGTGGCTCGCAGTATTATGTTTTTTGCATATGCTGCTTGTATGTATTATGGTGGCACTCTTGTTAAAAATGAAGGAATGGAAATTAGCATTGTTTTCAAGTAAGTTGTGCTTGAAAAAGAAAACGTAGAATACACACTATGTCTACTTTGCTGTTAAGCATGGCCTCATGACTAAAATGGAATTCTTTTGTTTCCTAGAGTTTCTCAAGCCTTGATAATGGGAACTGTTTCTATTGCAAATGCATTAGCTTTTGCACCCAATTTTGAGAAGGGAATGGTTGCTGCTAGCAAAATTTTCTATTTACTGGCTCGTCAACCTAAAGTTGTTGATAAACCAGTGTACACTGACCCTGACTGGGTGAGTCAAAACTCATTTCACATTTATTTTTTTATATTACAACTCTTCCCATTACATTTGCTTTTATCAATTACTGAAGAAAAAAAAACATTTGCTAACATTTTTGTGTTTTTGTTGCAGGAAACACAGGGTAATGTACAGTATTCTGAGATAGACTTTTTCTATCCTACTCGGCCATCTATTCAAGTCCTGTCTGGTTTAAATCTTGATATCTTAAAAGGTCAGACTGTTGCACTTGTAGGACAAAGTGGTTGTGGAAAATCTACCCTCATACAACTTCTTGAGAGATTTTATGACCCCACACTTGGAGTTGTTGTGAGTAAAGCACTGCTATTATCTAAGAGTTGGAGCATAAAAATCTGAAAGAAAAAAGTAATTTTTTATAAAAAGGTTAAAATAAAACATTCTTAACTAGTGAAATACACCCATGTTTTGCCTTAAAGAAATAATTGAGATTTCTAGTAAAATAAATAGAGAAAAAAATAAAAACATGTTAGAAACTGAGATGGCTAGTTATCACAAGTAAATAAAATATGTTTTCTCTCATATACCATTCATTTTTTTTCATTACCATTTTGCAACTAAAAGTTAGGAAGTGTGATAAAATATTAAATCATAAAATTTCCTACATTAATTAGCAGTTTTTAATCCTTTAGAGAATAAAAACATTGATTATATTTCCAATAAAATTGTTTCACTCATATTTTTTAATACTTTACAGTATTTGGATGATCGTGATATCTCAACAGTATACATGTCCTCATTACGCAAGCAACTTGGCATTGTCTCACAAGAACCTGTTTTATTTGATCGCACTATTGCTGACAATATAGCATATGGTGACAACTCTAGAGAAATTCCAATTCAAGAAATTATGGAGGCTGCTCGAAAGGCCAATATACATAATTTTATTACTTCTCTACCCATGGTAAAAGAGTTGTTTTCTTTCCTTTACATGGGGTTAAATTTTTTTTCTTTCTATTGTAACAAAACATTTATTTACATTGCCTTAGGGGTATGAAACACGAATGGGAGAGAAAGGCACCCAATTATCGGGAGGGCAGAAGCAGCGAGTTGCCATTGCAAGAGCCCTCGTGAGGAATCCACGTGTTCTCTTACTGGATGAAGCCACTTCTGCATTGGATACAGAGAGTGAAAAGGTGTGTAATTTTTATTATAAACATTTAATAAGTTCATAAAATTAGATTTTGGTCATCATCTATTATACAAATAAGAAAGAACTGAATTTCCCCAAATGCACTTTGACTCTAAATATAAGACAACCCCCTAATTTTGAATAGGCCTCTTGACTTTTTGTAAAACTTATTTTGAACTAATTCTTACTATTTAGTAAAAATAAAATTTCAAATTCTCTTATTGATTATAAAATTGTCTTGTTGATGGGAATTTAAAAACTATCACTGCAGCTATAGCTATTTTGTTTTTAAAATAATCTTAATCATGTTTTTTGTGACTACTGTCTTCACATATATCCTGTTAGCTGCTAGTTTTTTGTTTACAGACAGATGTTTTGCTGTCTATCGATTTTGGTATTAAGTACCCACAAAACATGTATTCTGACTTCATAATGTGTTGGAGGAAGAAATTTTCTCTAAGACCTTTTAGTAATATACATAATTCCTACATTATGTTTAATCGACAAATGTTGTTGATTACACACCTCATGGATACCGAACTGGAATCCACGGCCTGTTGGCCAATCACATTCCTAGAATTTTTGGAATTCATGAGTGGAATTGCATTTTCTTTCCGATTTGAAGTACTGTTTTTAAATTACAATCACTGCATGTGAAAGGATCAAAAAGACAAAAGGTGAAAAGTGGGGAAAGGAGGGCGCAAAGGGCAAGGCGATAAAATGGACAAAATTGGAAAAGGGGTGATAAGGGACAAATGGGGAAAGGGGGACAAATTAAACTATTAGAAAAATGGGACAAGGGGATAAATGGGATAAACAGGACAAGATGAATGTAGGGACAAAATGGACATCAGGGGAAAAGGACAAAAAGGGCAATAGGGTAAAATGAGCCAAGGGGGCAAACTGAAAGGGGAACAAGTGGAACCAGTGGGATTCAGGGGGAAATTCATGAAACGGGACAAGAAGGTGAAGGGCCAAGTGGGACAAAAGGGATATATTTATGTTAAATCAAAAGATTTATGAACAGTGGTGAAATCTTAACTAGTGAGTATGCTAAAATATTTTTAATAGACTCTTGAGCATTTTATTGGCCGTTGCTATGGATACGCTCTTAAAGTATTGGATGATTGGTTGCTAACAAGCTAAGCATGTGTTTGCCGACATAAATAACAAAAAAATCTGTTCAGAATCTATTCTGAAAATATCAAGGTCGAAGAGAAAGTATAGTCTTTTACTCGTGCATAATGGCTATTATTCACTCGTAGAAAATGCAATGCTCGCTCCTAGGTTGCTCGTGTCATGAACGTCAACTCATGAGTAATGGCTATCATTATGCACTCCAGTGCGCTCATTGAAGAATATACTATACTACACATAGCGAGCATTATCCACTTTTTCATTACCAGGGGCCGGCAATAAAATTTTTCCAATCAATAAATTTTGTTTTTTTTCCACAGTTACAATACTTTCTCTATACTGTGTTTCAAGCAGTATGCTTGAAAGTAATAGTATCATTGGTCTTGACAGCTAAAGTATTTGCTACGTGGACACGAGATATCAGCAAATACTCTTTTGGGGCTATATGTATTTGTAGCAGAAAGAGTGGCATGGGGAAGTCAGAAACCCATATCACAACCAAAAGAGGATTGGCCTTGCAACAGTGTAGTTCCTAGTTACCCAACACAACGCAACACATCCACTAAAGGCTTAAAAAAGTTTATTGAATAGATGTAATACATTTCTTAAATTTTGCAGGTGGTACAAGAGGCTCTGGATAAAGCAAAGGAAGGCCGAACATGCATTACTATTGCGCATCGTCTCTCAACAATACAAGATGCTGACTTGATATGTGTAGTTAACAATGGAGTTATTGCTGAACAAGGAAAGCATAAAGAACTTCTGGCCCAACAAGGACTGTATTATAAACTTCATGCTTTACAAAGTGGAAAGAGGTGAATCTTCATAGTTGTGTTTTGACAGGTGATTTAAGGCCATCACAGGACCAAACTGTGAACAAATAACATACTGCACCTTAGAGATGCTTTATTTTAATTATATTTAAATAGGGCTGAAATTGTGCTTTAAAATGTTTAGAGAAAAATAGCAATAGATAATCAAATTTTCAAACATTAATTTTAAATATTTCAATTACAAAATGCCAAACATCTGATAAATTTTGGTGCATAGTATTTATGTAATTCTGACTAAAGAAACATTAAGATTGGCTACTTTTTATCCTACATTGCAATTTGAAGAGAGAATTCATTGAACCACAAAAATGTGTGCACTCCTTAACAATTTTTATTGTGTGTATTGCATTTTTGTTTTAGCAATGTTATTCATTCATCCATTATCGTATTACATTTCCAGATAATGTTATTGATGTTTTAAGAAAGGTTGAGACAATTCTTTTTTGTACCTATATTAAAAATTCTACTCAATATTTATTTAAATGAAGTGAAATTAGAAAATTCAGAAAAAAACTAAAAAAATTAAAATTAAAATTAATGTGCCTGTGAAAATGTATAGAACTTATTTATTATAGATCTACCAATCTTTTTTTATTTATGTCTACTGCAAACTACAGTAAAACCCCTCTTTTACACTTTCCAGGGGACTGATGAAAAAAAGTGTAAAATGCAGGAAAGTGTAAAAATACAGGAAAGTTGAAAAACGATAGGCTAGGCGGTTACTTTCATTATTTACTGCAGTGGTTATTTTGTTTTCACTTACTTGCCCTTCGTAAGAAGAGAAAGTAAAAGCATGCTCCGGAATCGGCGATTTTCGTCAGAAAATCTCCATTGACGTGCCTTGGTAATGAAAAAGTGGGTAAATTACTTCCTCTAACACGTGGTGTAGCCTGAATCCCAGTTTCATGGGTCCCTGAAACTGCAAAATCGATTGGCGGCTGTTTTTCCGGCTGAAAACGTCTGTTCGTCCCTCTGTGGTCAACGCGAGCGCCTAAACCGCCTGACGATTTTCTTCAATATTGATATTCCGCAATTGATCTGAACGAATGAGATGCTTTTCCGAGTTTCTTACATACATATGTAGTAATTTACTACATATTAGAACAGGATTTATCCACTTTTTCTGTATCAGTGCGAGTTTTTCTGACGAAAAATCGCCGGGTTTTGCCGCAGCATTACATACTTTTCTCAGCACTAGGTATAAAACGTACGTATACGGGAAAGTAAAAAAGTATAAAAAAAAAAAGGACGTAAAAGACTGGAAGCGCTCTTCATATCAAGTTGTAATTTGGGGGAAGAGAATGCATTGTAAATATAGGCTTTTCAACGGGACCAACGAAACATTACGTAAAAGGCTGGAAAACGTAAAATGCGGGAACGTAAAAACGGGGTTTTACTGCATTACCAAAAGGAAAAGAGATAAATGACAATTTCTTAATCTTGTTGGATTTTAGTCATTGAACCCAAAAAAGGCATTTCTGCCAATGTGTTATATAATAGTCGTGATAACTGCTATTAAGTTCAATACATAAAAAATGTGTGTGTATATTTATTTATTACTAAACAATTTTGTACCTTATAATTTATTTGTAATAAAAAATTAAAAATTATTGTTATGATTTATAAAATTTGTGAATAATATTTTCATCAAAGGTACCATTCTTTCTTTCTTTCCTCCTTTCTCTCCTTCCTTCTTTCCTTCTTCCTTCTTTCCTTTCTTCTTTCTTTATTTCCTTCCTTCTTCCTTTCTTTCCTTCCCTCCTTTCTTTCATTCCTTCCTTTCTTTCATTTCTTCTTGCTTTCCTTATTGCTTTGCTTCCGTCTTTCTTTCTTTCATTCTTTGTTTCTTTCTTTCTTTCTTTCATTCCTTTCTTTCCTTCCTTCTTGCTTTCATCCCTTCCTTCTTATTTCTTTCTTTTTCTCTTTCCTTCCTTCTTTCCTTATTTCTTTCCTTCCTTCTTTCTTTCCTTTCCTTCCTCCTTTCTTTTCTGCCTTCCCTTTCTTCATTCTTTCCTTCCTCCTTTCTTTCCTTTTTCCTTACTTTTGTTCTTTCCTTCATGCATTACAAATTAATCAAATTTTAATATTCAGGCAGTATTTTGCCAAGTATTGTTGTGCCATGGTTGAATGTTCATATTCTTTGAATATACTGTTGCCATGGTTTATGTATCCCTTTGTTAAGGTAATTGAGGGGGGGAAAGTACAATTCATGACATTTTTAGTGTGTTTTATTAACTAACAATCACAATAAAATAAGTAAACATTACAAATTTGTATAGGATTATTAAAGAATATTTAGAAGTTCAAACGATTGTGCCAAGCTATAAGCATTGATGGAAATGAATTTGAAAGACAGCAGTGCACAAAACTATTTTGGAGGATTTTGTCGCATTTGCATGGATGATTCATCAAGAGAGCCTTTGATATCTCCGTGTTATTGTAAAGGTACAATGGGTGTTGTTCATGAAACTTGCCTTCTTAAGTGGCTCCATTGTCAGAAACAAAACCAATGTGAGGTAAGAATTGGGTGATCCTTATTTAAACTAATGTTTTAACTATTAACCTTGAAATTGTATTAACTTTCCTTTGTCGCTTTTTTAAATTAGGGGTTCAAATTTGAAGAACATATAACACTGCTACTGATCCATCCATAGAATATTGTTTATATTCATCAATAGAATATTTTTTCAATGAATTTTGGCATTTCAAATCAGCAATTGCTTCCATCATTGAAAATTAACAATATGCAATTTAGTTGATGTTAAGGTAACAAAATTTCTGGATCTCTCAATTCAGTAAAATCTAAAATGGAACATTTTTGTAACAATTAAACACTAAATTAAGTTAATTATGTTACACATTCAGAATTCTTTCTAATTCTGTTAGCCTTCATGCAATTCCTTGCATGTATTTTGCAAATGAAAATTTCCTCCTGAGATGCGGCATAATATTCTGGAGAAGCTCATCTTATAGTACCCGAACCTTAGATTGCAGAAAAAAATATTCAAATAATAAAAATATGCCATCCACATGATTCCTGCAAACCTCTCTTTGAGCTTATAATCTTACCGTTGCCTTGCCTATTTATTTACAAATATGTAATTTTTGTCACAACTGACTTACTTAATGTTTGGAACATACTTTCATGCAATACTGATATTTATATTTACAACACACATTGTAGAAATCGCATGCATCAGATGTCAGTATCATCAGCTCAGTACAAGAAATTCGTATAATACATGTACATTATTTTCAAAACATTGCCAGATAACATTAAGCAATTGAAGTCAGTACACAAATTTAAGTTAAAGTAAAATCTTTTCTCCTGCATAACTGTTTCTGTACAATTAGAGACTATCCTGATTATCAAAAAAAGAGATAATTTTTATTTCAGCAATGATATAATAATGCCTTAGTTTACCTTTGTTCTGAATAATTTTTCAACAAGGCTTATTATGACTGTAACAAATAATGTACTTCATCTTATGGATTAATGACCCCCATCTCTTTTGGGTTTTGTGTTCAGTTTCCCTGTTCTATTGAGCAAATGTTGAGATGGAACCTATTATCTTCAGTAAATGTAGCTTCAATATTCCTTCCTTTTGCATGTTGTAGTATAAGAGCTGGGTGTATGTTATTACTTTTTTAACCAATACAAAAGAATAACATTGCAGTTTGTTATAACTGAAGCAAAAATGTATAGTTTTACAAATGTTGTTAATCTTCTACTTTTTAAAATTTTATTATTATTATTATTATTTTTGTTTATTTTATTAAATTTTTGTAAACTGTTATTCACCTTTCAATTATTAGTAGTTAAAATTTTAGAAAGGAGATTTTGAAATTCAAGAAAACATACACAATGGTACTTCTCCCCATATGCCTCATACATTTTTTACTCTTCTTTGACCAAATAAATCAAAATCCTTACAAATGAGGACTGTTCAGGTTATTATGTATATGTGCATTAAAAAACTTCTATCACATCTATAGAAAGTTTCCAAATTTTTTCCTAAGAGTTGCCTTTTCTTGTCAAGAAAACTTAAGGCAACTAAGACATTTTCTTCAAACATGATGATTAAGGGCTTGAACGTTTCTGTAGAAACTGCATCACCATCTCCTCATCCTTTAAAAGCATTTCATGTAAATAAAGTAAGGTGCCATAAAAAAGGGCAACCTAGGTATTATACGTGAGCTGAATGTATTTTATATTTTCATTTTTATGTTTTTATCTGTATGTTTTTGTGTATTTCAATCTGTTCATATTTCATTTGTGTATTTCTTTGCTTGTATGGTCATCATTGTGTTCAAAATTAAAAATGACTTCATCATCACTCTATTTGTATCTCTTTTATGTGTACTTTTTAGAACTGTTCAAAAACACCGTCTAATGATTTTCTCGGATATTGGAAGTATGCTTATAAAAATGATGCAGGTCCAATTTTCGTTAAAGTATCTTATTGTTAAAAAATTGCAAAACTTGGAAATAATGCAAGAAATGATAAGCTTTTGTAGTATCCTAGTTTCTTATTATGTAAAGCTCATGATACAAGTTAACACAGATTAATAATTGCTAATAAAAAAATAAGGTGTTGTAGAGCAAGGTGGGAGATGGAGCAAAGAAGGAGGGACTGGGTGGGTTGGGGAAGGTTATGGGCTGGACTACGACATAGTAAGACGGTAGTACCCAACAGATTGAATGATTCCTTTTCCTATCTAAGAGACTGCGATTGATAAATACCCAAGCAGCACAGTGCTCTTCAGCTAGTTGAAAATATATGTAATGTCTATAACTAATATGGCTACCTTCGTTTCAGGTGTGTCACTTCCAGTTTGAAACAGTTGGAAGACCTAGTACATTGTACCTCTCAAAGCGTTGGTGGGGATCAGCTAACCGCATCAAGGCTTTGTTGAAAGAAGGTCTACGGATCTTAATTCCTTATGCCAAAGCATGTGCATTTATCAACAGTAGCTTCCTTCTGGCTCACTTCTGTGGATGGCTGGTTAATGAACCAATGCCGTTATGTATCACGTAAGTATATAAATCCACGGTATTGTACGTAGTATATAGAGGCTTGAAAACATTTTGGAACAAAAATCAATGCATGACATATTTATTTATATATGGCAAAATAGAGAAAATAACTGATAAAAAGGTAAATCCTCGAAATAATAACAATGCAACAAAATCAATATTCTTTAATGTGTGCCCTTAATAGAAAAAATAGTGTCCAGTTGAATGTAAAATAATACATCTTTTTATCTACAGCAAAATTTTACATTGGGCCACTAAAAATAATAAGAAAAAAAGGTGGTTTTCTGCTGCAACATTACATTACATTCTGAA